TTATAAAATTAAATTTCTATACCTCTTTTGTTTTCCCCCTATTATTCATCTCTTGCAACCATAAAAAAAGAAAAAAAACTCGAATTTAAATTTCTTGCATTTCAGAGAGACAACTACTTAGACCGAAAACTGAAACAAGGCAAGTACTTTCAAATGTTATTGTCATATCTTGCTTCTTTCTTCGTTTTTTTTTTCTTTTAAGACAAGGCCATGAATAAATCTTGTAAAAGAAAAATAATCATATCATATCAAAACCCAAAAGGTTTCTGTACCCAAGAGGTTGATCATCAAAAATCGTAAGGTCATAGTTGTCACCAAATAATTGGTGAGCAAGCCAATTAACACGTCTATTTACTTTTTTGAACATGTGATCGAAATTTACACACAATAAGATATCTAATTTTATTGATAGTTTCTAAGTGGGGATGACTATATCAGAGAAATTGTGTTAAAAAAGCAAGAGGGCTTGTATGGAATTAGGGTATATGTTTACTTTTTTTAAGCTTCTTGTTAGGGTACCCAAGAGTTCAGTTGCTATATTAGGGGTAGTAGCTAGCTAAGATACTTGGAGAACCTTTTAATCAAGTCGCCTTTATCATCACGAAAAATGTCACAAGTAGCAATATCATTAATGCCAATTGCACTGTCAATGCCAAGTTTGACCCATCCTTCATCTATGGGGTTCATTTAACTCAAGTCTGACGTTGCCCTTCTTCAAGTGACAGAGACTAATATCTTGCTTTCTTCAATTGAGAGATTTTTTTCGTATTGAATGTTACACTAATTATTATTTCTTAACGCATATTCATTGCATTATTAATTTTCTTATATTAATATATGTTTATTATTTAATCATTTAGGCCCAGTGGTAAAATTTAACTAGTATAACTCTGTCACTCAAGTCTTAGCTATTTAATATTAGTTCATAAGGCCTAAACTTTATAATTTGGACACAACTTACTCTTCAGATTAGATAATTTTCTAAAGTAGAAGGACTAATGTATCAAATAATTGAAACTTGAGGAATTAAATTGGACGAATCAAACTCTAAAACTAAGTTGTAACTCAGACCAAATCAGATAAAATACGTGATCAATTTTTCCTATAGATCATTTAAATTTTATATATATATATATATATATATGCACATATCTTTTTTCTTTTTCATTTACATTAGAAGGCTTTGAAAACTTAATCTCTATCGCATCTCACCATGTTACGCTTAGTTTGATAATATAGACTTATTTTAATTAAAATTGATGTGGTAGAATTGTCTGAGAGTTATCAAAATGGAATAATTGTGAATACATTAATTTGAAAAATATCAAGTACAAGGTTTTTCTCAACTATATAATAAATATTACTTCACTTTTTTATTTTTCTTGATATGTGTGATATCACGCATATTTTGAACAATTTTGGAACGTATCCCTCAATCTCATGTAGTACATAACTGCACTTTTCATATTTCAATATACATAATTCATAATATTTTGAATTATGTTGATTTTTTTATCAAACAAAAAATAAAAAATATATCACCATAATCATCATCATCATCTTTATATATAGTTGACTATTAACATTTTCAAAGGAATTTATATGGTAAGTACAGTCGAACATAATATCTGGAGTCTTGTGAATTATTTTCCTATTAAAAGTTCTTCAATTTGGTAGTGAAGCTACATATCCAAATTGAAAGATTATGGACCCTGTTGAGAAGAAAGATTACATGTCGAAGTTGTCTATTGTGAAGTAAAACTCGATCTGCTAATTTTTTCCAATATTTTTTTATAGCATTTTAATATTAGGGTTAAAGAGCAAATTTGCCTTGAAAATTTTTTGCCCGCTGGAATTGGTATCCTTAACTACTTTTGATTGGTACAACATTATCCTAGAAGTTTCAAAATAGTGCAATGTCACCCTACAGTAATATTTGACCAATATTAAAAATTATTTTAATTTGAGTGCTAAAGGGCAATATTGCCTTAGAAGTTTGTCTGAATGAATAACTAGTATCCTAAACTTTTGACTAGTGTAATGTTTTTGGGTTATTATCTATCAAATCAAAAGAAGGATCTAACAAAACTTGTTATAAACCAAAATCAAAAAAATATTTTAGATTGAACTACATTGAATGCCTTGAAGTCAAAATTCAGACCTATGTTGCGCATAGACAAGTATGAACAAGTCTATATTTAAAAGCTTGTGCAAGCTCATAATACTCATGATCAAAATAAGGACAAGTTCAAACTTCAAGAGAAATTCTATGGAGTGCTGGAGGTATGGTTGATTTTGTATTGAAGCAACAACAAGTAAAACTTTTTATCAAGATCCAGAAATATGAACCATTTTTAACAATGATAGTATTTGTGAGACTTTTTTTTCTTATTTGAACATTAATGATAGCCCAAAAACATTGCATAAATAGAAATTTTAGGGTATCAATTATTCCTTCAAAAAAACTTCCAAAATAAAATTACTCTTTAACCCCAGTCATAATTTTCAACTAATGGTCAATGTTGGTCAAAAATTATTATAAGGCAAAATTTCTCCATTTTTAAACATCCAAGATAATATTGCCCCAATTAAAAGTTAAAAATACCACTTGCACCTAGCCAAAAACTTTCAAAATAAATTTGCCCTTTAACCCTTAATATTAAGTCATACACTTCTAGCAATCCTCTTTTAATTTGTTTTTCTCTTTTTTATTTCATCTCTCGCTGAAATAAAAAAGAAATGGACGCGAACTTAAATTTCTTGCGTTTCAAAGGGATAACTTTTCCTAGATTGAAAAACGTAACGAAAAGAGGCAAGTACTTTCGAATTTTATGATCATATTTTGCTTCTTTCAATTGAGAGATTTTTTTTTTGAAATATTTTTTACACATATTAATTACAAGATGAATATTTTATATTAATATATATGTTTATTATTTATTCATTTAGTTCTAGTGACTTTTTGCCTTCGTTATAACACAATCATTAAAATTTGATTCAGTACAACTTAGTCACTCAAGTCTTAGCAATTTAATAACCTATTAGTCCCTAAAGCCTAAACTTTATAATTTGGTTACAACTTACTGTTTGAAGGACTAAATAATTTTTTAAGGCAGAAGGATCGGAAATGTATTAAATGATTAAAAATTGAGAGACTGAGTTGAACAAGTTAAATTTTAAAAATGAGTATAAACATTTAAATTTTAAAATATAGACATCTTTTTCTTTTTATTTATATTAAGGGGGGATTGAAATTTTAATCTCTATCCACATCTCACCTCACCACACTGAGTTTGACAATATGGACTAATGTCAATTAACAAAAAAACAAGTCAGAATTGTCTGGGAGTTATCAAAATAGAAAAATTATATGAATAAATTAGTAAGAAAAATTTCAAGCAGGTGTTTTCTCCACTACATAAGTAAATGTTACCCCTTATTATATTTTTCTTGATAAGTGTGCTGTAACGCATGATATTATACTGAACAATTATGGAAGGTAACCCTCAATCTCAATAAGTACCATAACTGCACTTTTCATATTCCAATATGAATAATTTATAATATATTTGATTACATTGAATTTTTATCAAACTTCTTTTTGGCCAAAAATTTTTATCAAATTTTAAAAATGAGTTGTAACTAAATGATAGATTTTTTCTATTAATAATTTCACAAAAGAAACATTTAAATTTATATATATATATATATATTCTTTTTATTTACTTGAGGAGGGTTTGAAACTTTAATCTCCATCACGGATGCTTGGATGATCAACTAGCTAGCTAGGAGATGAATTTAGTTTAACTAAAAATTTTGAGTTCGAGTCCTAAGTACATAGCAGCTATTGAATTCTCTTGATAGAAGGTATGCCCCCTAAATAGATGCTCACAAGTTGTTGACCAGATTAGAATGAGTTAGAACCTAAAAAACTGGAGCAAAAGAAAAAATTTAAAATCTTACCACATCTCACCGTGTTACATTTAATTTGACAGTATAGACTCATTTCTTTTTTTTTAATGAAAAAAAAATTTTAGGTAATTTGAGTCCTAGAGGCTCACTAGGAACAAAACATATCTTTAGACTCAAAAAGCATTTATAGAGGAACCTATAGATCGCTCATCACCAATATCCTCACATTGGTAATGAGATTTGATCTCATAATCTTGTGAGTTATGGACCAACTCCTTATCAATTAGATCAACATTTGTTAGTTAATATAACTTATTTCAATAATATGTCAGAATTGTTGAAGAGTTATCAAAATAGAAAAATTATGAAAAAACTAATTTGAAAAATCCCAAGCAGAATATTTTCTCCACTATATAAGTAATTGTTACCTTACTTTTTTTTTAAATCTTTTTCTTGATATGTGTGATGTAACGCATGAAATTATATTGAACAATCTTGGAAGGTATCCCTCAAATTTAATAAGTACCATAACAGCACTTTTCCTGTTTCAATTTTCAATGTAAATAATTCATAATTTATTGAATATTGTTGAATTTTTATCAAACAAAAAATAGAAAAATATATTAATCTATTATTATTATTATTATTATTATTATTATTATTATTATAGTTGAATATTATCATTCTCAAAGGACATTATTAAAAATGACAAAATTTTACTTATGAATGCTTGATTCAATGAGTTGAGGGAGTTGAATAGTTTATCATGAGATTCGAAATTCGAATTTTGAGATAACATGCAGTCACATTCTGTAAAAATGTCAAAAATATTTCCAAAATACTTATGGACTGTGGTTAGTAATAATAGTCATACATAACGAGGGTTTAGATTAATCCAAAAGGATTTGGGTTGATAATACAAATGTTTCCTAGGACTAAAAAATGATAAAATATTTTTACGGTATGTAAAGTCAAACATAATTTCGGGAGACACATGAGTTATTTTACTATAAAAAGCCCTTCAATCAGGAATTGAAGCTGCATATCCAAGTTGAAAGCTTTTCTTGTTCCTATTCTTCCTTCTCAGTTTGACCAGAGCAGAAGGAAACATTTGCCAGAAAACAACCATGGACCCATTCAAGCCGATGTCATCAAGCAACCCACCACCGGCGCCGGTGTCCACCAGGGAAGTTGGGCAGGGCTCAGGGACTGCCCAACCTCAGCCCCACCACAGTGGGTCCCCCTCAATTACCGGCTACACTGACCTGGCTCGTTTCGATCCGTTTGAGATTGACTTCATCGACAGCCCTCCTCCACCAATTCCGGGTGTTCCAAACGACCCCACTGCACCACCGGTGATGGAGTCGAACATCGATGCTGGTTTTTCAACAGAGGAACTCAACAACTACCTTAGCTCCGACAACAACATGCCATTGAGGTCACCCGGCGGCGACGATCTCCGGAGCTTGTCTATGGATTCTGATTTCCTGGACTACATTGCTGACGTCGAAGGCTTTCCCAGAGCCGTCGAGGATATTGCCGGCAGCAACGATGCTGTTCCGGAAATACCTGTGCAGCATCAGGTTCAGAGTGTTTGCATGGGTGGTTCTGATAATGTGACCATTGAGGCTGAGCCGTCCTCCGTGGCCAATGAAATGATGAAGAAAGTTATGCCTCCTGAGAAGCTCGCTGAACTAGCTGTGGTTGATCCCAAGCGAGCAAAGAGGTTGGTAGAGACAGCTTCTCTTTTTCTCTGCTACATCTTCATGCCTTACTGTGTTTCCCCCCCCCCCCCAACTAGTTTGTTTTGATTTTTTCATTTACAAATCCTTCTTCCACATAAAACTCTATGAGTTTAATGCGACGAACTTCAATCTTATAATACGCTTACACTTTTCTTTAGATCTGTTGTGTGCTTCCTTTGCTTTTACTTATATCCATATTGCTGAATGAGAAAAAATGTATTGCATTGTGAGTAGTGTGATTTACTATAAATTTTGATTCTGGGTATTGATTGATTTTGTTTGTTTCGTGTATAGGATTCTTGCTAATAGGGAATCTGCTGCTCGTTCAAAGGAGAAGAGGACTCGTTACACAATGGAGCTGGAGGAGAAGGCGCAGACACTTCAAGCTCAATCAGCTAAGGTCTCTGCCCAGCTTGCGAAGCTTGAGGTCTGTATAATTACTTTCCTATCTTAATTACTCTTACAGTTTTCGAAGAATATCATCAAGTTCACCGTATTTGATGAAATCACGCGTAATGTTGAAAAGAGTTTTTAGTTCAATGAAGGAGAGACGCAGAGATATTCTCCAAGTTCTCAAAGATGCTGTGTTTTCAAAAGATCTATCAGATGGGCGTGTTTTTGTAATTGCAATCTTATTGTTCTCGAAAACTGACGTTTTATCTGATTAAATGCAAGCAATACTTGTCACTAACTTTTTGTTTTGTTTTTGTTTTTGTTCTTGTTCTTGTTTTTTTTTTTTTTTGATAAGGAAACAATAAAATAACAACTAAAACAACAAAAGACAAAACTACCAACCAGCATTCAGACTCACTCTCGTCCTCCTCCAGCTTCGAAGTAATAAACGATGGTGGGCTTGTGAAGCACAAAAACTGGGCTAGGAATGTGCCTGTTACTAATGCTCATTGTAATGCCCAGCAATTTCCCGATTTTATTTTTATTTTTTTAATTTTTATATCGTTGACTTTTATATAAAATAAGATGTATTTTGATATTTTGAAATCCTAAAACGGTGAAGTTTTTTCTTTTTTGAATGATTTTTTTTAAAGAGAAATATCACAATAATTACATCCTATTTATTTTTTAAAAAAATAATAAAATATACAAAATTTTGTTATTTTGAGACCTCAAGATATTAATATATTTTTTATTTTATGTAGAAGCTAATGATGCAAAACAAAAATAAAAATAAAATTGTAATGTTGAGACATTACATTAAGCATTAATGAAAGGCACATTAGAGGCTCCTAACCTCTGCATCATCTTAGTAATGATAATATATGCCATTTTTCTCTCGCTACAGGGCATAGACAGAGAGAATGTAAACTCTGATAGCAATTTTGCAACGGCATTTCTCCGTTATAGAGATAGCTTCCCTCCTCTTACATTGCACTAAATGAGCCAATTTTTCCATAGCAATTTAAGACCACGTGATGGATGAAATTTGTTTTCTTTATCCCCATTCCACAACATTTTCATTGAGGCGGACGTAATACACTCCCTTATTACTGCCACCAACCAATCTAGAATATTCAATTCCTCCAAGAATTTTATCACAAAACTCCATCTAAGCCGTGCATAAGTTTTCTCCAAATCGATCGTAAGAGCCATGAGACTCCGTCTCCCCCTCTTTGATCGCATAGAATAAATAACCTCTTATGCCAGCAGGATAATATTATTTGCACACTGCCTCCCCATCAAAAAGCTACTTTGGTGCGGTGCAATAATAGACGGCACGGCCCTCTTAAGCCTCTTAGTTATCATCTTTGTCACGATTTTATTAATAACATTACAAAAACAAGTAGGCTTGAAATCTCTATTAGTCCGTGGAAATAGTCTTTGGAATATCACAAACTTCATTCACGGTTTTCCTTTTCTCTTCTCTCGCGTCCCATAACTATGCATATTGTTCATGTATTTATCATGCCATTGTATGTACAACAATCATGCAATAAATGTATGATTTGAGGCAAATAATCAACTTCATTTAGATTAATATAACCCAATGAGTAAGTCATATAGTTCAGTTCAATTGAGTGTGCATTTAAATATAAGATATGCTAATTGAAGTATTTTAAATTTCAAACATATTTTAACTGATAAATTTTGTTTTGAAGTATTTTACCATGCTTGCCCATTTAAATGATGTCCAGGAAGTGAAATCCATTAGCACATGAAGTGTATCAAAAGTAGTCTTACTAATTAGTAATGAGCTTGCTAAAAGTAGAAAAACTAAAGCATTAAATGAGAAAAATGTAATCATGAGCGTGAAACACAGAGCATATACAAAGAGTATTTAGATGGAATATTTAAATAAAATATTTAGCTAACATCAGTTCAAAAATCATATCTAGACGAGAATTGATTTGTAATTTATATGCATACAACCTTTGGAGAAAATATGAGTTGCGAAAGGAAAACTTCTAGGTATGTCAGTTTTAAATGTTTAGAGGAGTTATTAATTGAGTCTCTAATTATATAGGTGATTCTCCAGTGTATGTTCAATTGGTTAAGTATTTATGTCGCAATAGTTAACAAGTATGCGATGTTGCTTTGTTGTGTTATATGGCCATATTAAGAATTAACCTTGATGTTAAATTCGACCAATACGTATAGTATGTCGTCACATTCACATGCACAATCGTCATTGAAATTCAGTAATATAAGCAAAATAATTGTGGCCTTAACAAATTAGTAAAGTCTTCTTATTGGCTATCTGATCCCTTGCCTTACGCCATTCCTTCGGTTTTACATCTCATCTAATGCAGAAGGAAAATTCGGACTTGAAAGCTCAGAACAAGGATATTAATTGTGAGACAGTGACTATTGAAGCGGAAACAAAGCTTAGACGAGGTATATGGATTTCATATTTAATTTGTTAAATGGGCTTGTTCTCAGTGATCGCTCGTTTTGAGATTGATATCAATTAAGAATAGACCTTACTAAACTGTTTTCGTATTTTGTTTCCAAAATTCTTCAAGTTCAAGGGAAAAGCACATTAATTACTTGAAGCTTGATAACTTCTTCATGCTACATTTTAAATTCAGTACCTGAAGATCATACTCTTAACATGATGGTGCTAAATTCTTTGGATAAGTATGTTTTAGGAGAATTTACTTCATCAAAATAACTTGAATAATTTAGTTAGACATTTCAAACTTTATATATTCATGATATATCTTTTATTTTATTTTATTTTATTTCGATGTGGGACTTCTTCTTCTACTCTCTTTCTTTTTCAAACTCTTGTTTTTACATCTTTCATCTTTCTTTCTTTCTTTCTTTTTTGGTTTTTTGGGTTTTGTGTTTCCAATCTAATGCCTATTGATACCATGTTAAATTTTTTGGTTATATATTTTTAAAGATAGTCTACTTCATCAAAATAGCTTAAGTTATTTGGTTAGACATCCCAAGCTTTATATATTCATGATATACCTTATAATTTCTTGATGTCAGACTTCTTCTGTCTCTAATAGATGGATTCACTTTTTTTCCTTGCCTGCAGAACTTAATGAATCTTTAAGGGCTCAGCTGACGCAACTTAAGAAAGAACATAGACGGAAAACTGCATTTAAGAGCAAAAATTTTCAGGGACTGCTCTCTCAGTTTTCTTCTCAGTTAGCATTGTTTCAGGTGACTCATCTTCGATCCTGGCAGGCTCAGCAGCATCAACAACAGCTTGGCATGCCTTCGTCTCACTTGGACAAGCCCAATAATGAGCAAGTTGATTCAGATGATGACTCGAATTAAGTCCAAGATTGGTGATTGCATGTCGATGTTCATCATAAGTTTATGACACTGCTGAATCTTGTGACTAGTTTCGTTTGACGGCTTTTAATCACCCTCTTAATTGTTCCTCTTCTTATTTTCATGTCCTTTATACTTTTGTTGGATAGATTTAGGGTTTAGCGTGATGTTAATGAAACTATTTTACTGCATAAGCTGCTTTTGGAATCATTTTTAGGAAGTTTAATTTATTCCCATTTGATAGTTATCAACTCTGGATCACTATTATTGAATTCCATATTACTTCTATCCGAAAATGAAAAGCGAGAAATATGAGGCTTATTTGCCTCAAAATTTCCAATTTCAAAGTTGGTTTTAACAAAATGGATTGTTGAAGCCAATGAAGTTGGATCCTTAAAGCATAATGAAAGGATAAGCAGTCATTTTCATATATACAATAATTAAAAATACCTATGAGAGAATAAGGTATTCTTTACAAGACGAGCATGATCGATCGATCAACATACTGATGAAGGATTTGCATAATGTTACTTAAATTAACAAATGAAGTTTGGCCAATCAACCTTAACCTATACTTTATTTCTTGATAAGAAAGAAAAATATCCACAAGCTAGGAATATATGATTTCATTTCCTTTTTACTGTTTAAGTTGTTAAAGTAGGGAAAGAAAGTAACTCCATAACTTGCAAGCTTTAATTTATAAAATCAAAAATTTGTGCTCGGCTTCTGCATAATTAGCTATTATATCATAAATTCAAGAGCTTTTATATGAAACTAACATGAAGAAGGTTCTACTGCATGTTACATTTATGTGTAACAACATTTATATTCATGCACATAAGCTTTTATATACTAGCAGATGTCTCTCTCAGATAAGCTTGTCATCCGAAGCATTTATATGTGTAACATCATTCATATTCATGCAAGTTAGAATCAACATTTTTGAACATAACAACATAAGCATCTATTTGAAGAGCCCAATGATTATTCTCTTCAATATCAGTGTAAATCCCAATATCTTCACAAAATGAGGAGATCAAGGATGTACCACAGAAGCGAAACTTGTACCCGTTATCATATTCGTAAATGCTAAACCTCCCAGATATAGTTAGATTATTGAGGTAATCTTCATTACTTCCTATCCCCTCTCATGTGGCATCCCCAAGTACTATCCCAGTCCACATCTCCTTAACTAGTCTGAAGTGCTATTTGTTTTGGCTTGGTTGGGAAGGTCAGATTCTCTCGGAGTTCCATCTTCTCGGGTTCGGTAATGTGGGATGGGTCCAACTGATACTTTTTTAATTGGGACACATGGAAAATGTCATATATGCCAAATAGGTGTGGGGGTAATAAAATATCAAATGGATTGATGTACTGGGTGAGCTTCTTCGCCTTGATTACTCTCTCAATGTTGGTCATCGGGGTCACTTTCATAAAGATATGGTCTCCTATCTCAAACTCCAACGGCTTGCATCAGCAATCAACATAGCTTTATTATCAAGATTTAAATAATATTGGGACTAAATTATTTCATGGTGAATGGAAATTTCCGTTTGATTATTTGAGTAAAGAGAATTTACCTAAAATTAGTTTGATTTTAAATACTCAATTATAAGTCATAAGTTTTAGAAAGGAAAGAAAATCAACAAGGTTAGTTGGCATTAATTAAAATTATTAAAAGTAGCAACTTAGTATATTGTGAATACTTATAAATTATAAAAAATATTTCATTTCAAGTAAATTACCCAAACTTAACTCAATCTTTTGAATTTTGAGAGATTCTTAAAAAAAAAAAACAAGAAGTAAAAGGTAAGAAAGCAAGAAAGGAAAATAAAGGAAAAAATATAATTAACAAAAAAAATATACATGTATCAATAATAATAATAATATGAATGAATTTGGAGGAAATGGGGTGGGACCCCTAGGTATTTTTAAGGGAAAATTGCAATCAAAAACCTCTATATTAAATTTATATCAGTCAAGGATAAATTGTTGTTAAAATTGAAATAAAAAACAAGCCTGAATAAACTGTTGTTAATTTAGAATTAATTATTATTAAAACTTGAATGGACACTTGTTAATAAAAGACAAACCCAAATCGACAAGTATTCATTTTAATTTTGACAATGACTGATCCTTAACTGATATAAATTTTATAAAGAGGTCCTTGTTTGCAATTTTCCCTCTATTTAATGCCCATCACCCACCCCATTCTCATTTCGGCCAATAGCATTCCAGTGGCATCTTCCTCTTCTTCTTTGTCCTCCATTTTCATTTCGGGAAGTTTTTAATCTTTAGGGCTTATTTTGGTATACAAAATTATTCTCATTCAAAAACTCTCTTCATAAATGTTGTCTAAACAGAAAAGACTTTCTAATGGTAGTATTATTTTAAAGAGTTGAGCAAATTTTAAAATTAGGAGTTAGGATAAGTATGGAGTTCTAATACATGAAAAGTATATGATTATAGAGATAAAGTAATACATTGGTTCTATTGGTTTAAATTTACGCTATTAACTAATTTATGGATTAAAATTAGGATTTTAATTATAAATTTTATAATTTGTGATAGATATGATATTTGTACCAATTAAATTTGAATTTACATTGTTGGAGGTATCATCAAGATTCTAATGATTTAGTTTTCGATTTTTGAAGTTGAAATTAGAAGTTAAAAATTTGGATGGAACCTTTAGGCTTTGAAAATTTGGGGATTTTTATTCAACCGAATAACTCAGGATCAATTGAGTAATTCGGATTAAGAAAACGTATAAAGTTGTGTTGAAGTGCTTAATTATGGATTATTTTAAGATATGGGGATTTTTGATGATTTTGAAAAATATGTGTTTAACTATGATTTTTATTGTTTGGAAGTAGTTGTTGGATATTGAGGTGTTAATAACAATAATCAGCGCATAATGACACAAAAAGGAAAGGCCAAGGACAATGTAAATGGTGATACTAGACCTCAATGAAGATGAGGCCAGAGCAGTGCTTTATCATATATAGTACAAATGTTTATACATAAAGCAATTAGAGGTTGACACATGGTAGAGAAAATATCTCTATATAGACCATGTGACCTCAAACAAGAGAATGTTCTACACACCACAAGATTACAGTATAAAACACAAACTAATTACATGCTTAGATTAATTACATGCTCTAACATCCCCCCTTAAGCGAGAAGGGTTAGTAAACAATCTGAATTTGTGTCTAAATTTTGAAAATTGAGTGTGAGAGAGAAGCTTGGTGAAACAATTAGTGATTTGATACTGTGAAGGCACATACCTGATATCTAATTTTTCTATCATAACTTGATCACACACAAAATGGATGTCTATCTCAATGTGTTTACTTCTGGTCTATTGAACTGGATTTGAAGCAAGAGCTTTGGCATAAATATTATCACACCAAATAATTGGTGGAGTTCTCAAATATAAACCAAGTTTAGACACTAACGAACATAACCAATTTATCTTTATTTCCTCAAGGCACGAGAAACAAGAGTGCCACTTAAGTAAACACAAAACCCAACCATAAATCTTCTATCATCTATATCTATTGCTTAGTCTACGTCTGTGAAGGAAGTAAAAAAAACTGAGGGAAGGGTTTGATGCAAAGACTGAAACTACAAGTGCCTTTCAGATATCTTAAAATTCATTTAGTTATGGTGTTGAAAGGAATTGGCTGAGTTTATTAACCGAGTATGCAATGTTTGGTCTTATAGTAAGGTATTGAAGTACCCCTATAGCTTGTCTATATTCAATGGGATTTTTAGATGTTCTCCATCATTAGCAGAAAAATGACACCCTGTGACCATTAATGTGGGTACAGATGCACAATCAAGCATGTGAAATTTTGTTAAGACATCAAGTATGTACTTGCTTTGACTTAAATACATCATAATATTGTCATGATACACTTCTATCCCAAGAAAATAGTGTAAAGCACCTATATCCTTGAGAGAAAACAAAGAATTTAAGTCTCGAATAAATTGCTTCAAATAAGATGAATTATTCCCAATAACAACAATATCATCGACATATATTAGCAAGAAGACTATTAAGTTGCCTATCCGAAGCATAAATAATGAATTATCTCTCTTGGCATTCCAAAAACTCCATTTCATCAAGGTAATACGTAGCCGGTCAAACCATGCTCGAGGGGCCTATCTCAACCCATAAATAGCTTTCACTAATTTGCAAACATGATTTAGAAACTTTCGATTTACAAAGCCATTTGGTTGTCTCATATAAACATTTTCTTGCAAATGTCCATTTAAAAAAGCATTATTAATGTCTAATTGCCTAACTTCCCACTGAAAAGTAATAGCAATAGTGAGCACTAATAGAACTATTGCAGCTTTCACCATTGGACTAATGGTTTCATTGAAATATATTCCAAGCACTTGTTGGAAACCTCTTGCTATGAGGCACGCTTTGTAACACTGCAGTGATCCATCAAAATTAAACTTTTTTCTTAAATATCCACTTGCAATCAACTATTTTTTGAGATTTATGAAAGGATATCAAATGCCATGTTCGATTCTTTTGAAGAGCAAGAAATTCATCATGTATGGCTTGCTATTAGTATGGAGACTTGAGAGCGTCTCATACGCTTATTGGCTCAGCATTGCAATTGAAGGGTTTTTTTGTCTTTAGAGGAAGTAAACTAACAAAGGGATACTTCGGCTTGTGTATTTCACTTTTAGCTCTAGTAACCATAGGATGTACATTGTGGGTTTACAAATATAAAACAAGGAAGGCCTAGAAGAAAGAGATTTAGATAATTATAATGCAACAATACATTCTTGGCTTAACGAGTGAGATTTCTCATGCAACACCATATTCGGTGAGCTTGTCACTAGTTTTGAGGAAATGTACTGGGCAGAAGATAAATTCGACACATGTTCTAGTGATGTAATAATGACAGGCACTATATAATTATCCTCAAACGAGACTATTTTTTGTTCAGAAAACCATTCACAAAAGGAAATATAGATGGGTCGAAGATAACATGACGAGAAACATAAATGCATCCTGTGGAACTTAAGCATTTGTAACCTTTTTGTTGAGAAGCATAACTCATAAACACGCATTTTTTACTGTGATACTAAAACTTATGTGCATTATATGGATTCAGACAAGGATAACATGTGAATTCGAATGGCTTA